ATCGAAAGTATTAGACTAAATTTAATCGAATATCGTGATCGGATATAAAAATTCATCAAAATTATTTTGATCGAAAATATCCGTTTGTTAATTTTTCATCGGTATTTCTCTCAAGTTAAATGGCGGATGATGATCCTAAGGCTGGAGACGCAAAAGAACTGAAGCTATAAAACCTAAGCAGTAAGAAAATTGACCAATCACAATCGACGATTCTCCTTAGGCCGGTTCTACCGTACGTCGTTTGTCGGAGTTACATGTCGGAATGCAATCGATGGTCCAATGAGAACTCACCTACGGAAAATAAACTCTCTCATTGGATCATCGATTGCGACATCCGACTCCAACAAACGACGTAAAACAAGTCTTACGGTCAAAGAATAATCGATCATGATTAATCAATTTTCTTACTGCTGAAGTCTTACTGCTGGAGATATACTGAAACAATAAGACTTAAGCAGAAAGAAAACTAATCACAGTTAATGATTCTTCTTACGGTCGAAGAATAATTGTTTATGATTAGTCAATTTTTTTACTGCTTAAATCTTACTGTCTGATTTTTTTGTATGTTCGAGTTCTAAGGGTGGGTTTACAATCTTGCTTTAAGTCATAAACCGTAAGTACATTGACCAACCACAGTCTATTATTTTTCTTACGTTTCAAAAATAATCAACTTTGATTTGTCAGTTACTTACGGCTTAAAGCTTAAAGCGAGGTTATGAACTCAGGCTATACTCGGAGACACACAGAAAACACTGAGACAGTAAAACTTAAGCAGTAAGAAAATTAACAATCACAGCGGACGATTCTCCTTACGATCGAGAAATAATCGATTGTGATTGTCAATCTTCTTACTGCTTAAATAAGAAAAGTAAAGCTTCTTACTGCTTGGGTTTTTTTATATGTCCGGGTTTTAAGGACCGTGACACACAGAAAGACTTAAGCAGCTTAAGTAAAACGTAAGCAAATTGATAAATCATAGTCGCTAGTTCTTGGACCATAAGATGAATCGTCGACTGGTTGAGGTGAATCGTCAACTTGCTTATGTCTTACTGTTTAAGTTTCTCTATAAAGGGCCATCTACAATGGAGAATCGTACGCTGCAGCAGTAAGAAATTAACCAATCACAATCAATCAATTATTCTTCTAAAAATCCAGTATAATTGGTTAATTTCTTACTGTTACGGCGTACGATTTTCCATTGTAGATGGCCCCTACTCTGAGCCTTAACTCTGACTTGAGGATAGCAAAAAGGATAGCAACCTTTGACTTTGAGAGACTGACAGCTGTACCATTTGGTACAGTAACATTGTTTCTCTCTGTAGTCGCCGTGCGCTCGGGATCGCGCCAGAGATGTCGCTTCCGAACGACATCTCTGAGCGTTATCTGGGGAGAGGAGAGTGTCGTGAGCGTGGAACGTCAGGTAGCTCAGTGGTTTAGAGCATTCGCCCGGCAAGACCCGGGTTCGAGTCCCGGCCTAGCAGAACCGCGCTCTCGATATCTTTTCTCCCTCTGGAACGAAAAGATACGCAGATCTCGAACGCATGGCGTCCCGCCGCCACCTAGTATGCCCTCGTCCTTCTATGGTGGAGGATATCTTTTTTCCCTACGCGACGTGGAGCTTGCGTGCTTTTATGCTCATGCGTGCG